CAGCTAAGATACTGCGCAGAACCCTCAAGCTCCCAGGCCTCTGGTAGAGGACCCGAGCTTGAAGGATAAACCGCCCGCAGGGGCGTGCTGGGTGTGTGTGTGTGTATATATATATATATATATGAAATTCAAGACAAATATGTTTATAAACAACATCGAAAACAATTTCAGTTTAATGAAATGTGATTTGTAATTCACAGCAATTAAGATTGTGTGACTGAATGACTGCAAAATGCATGACTGCATTTATTTTGTTATTTTCATTTTACTCATAGTCCCAACTTAGCGCTTTCATAAAATGGTAGTTATACATTCATTCCTGGTTGGAGACCTTGAGCAAACATATCAGGAAGGGCTGTGTTGTAACACACAAAACAAACTTGTTCCTGCATCCTGCCTTTGTGAATGTTTATTACCTGAGGCTTCTAGTTCTTACTGTGTTGGTCCTTAAATAAAAACACCTTCCTTTTTCTGTCAGGTAAAGCCTTTGACAGTGCTGAGGCTGTGAATGCTGCTGTTTCCAATATCATCTGTTCGATTGTTTATGGTAAAAGATTTGAATATGATGACCCAGAGTTCAGAGTGATGGTGAGTCGAGCTATTAGGAATACTCAACTCCTGGGCTCTGCTTCAGTGCAGGTATGATAACAATCTGACAGAAACAGTTCTTCACATCCTCACTCCCCTGTCACTTGTCAGGTTATTTTGCTGCTCACTGCTACTTACTACTACTCCTTTACATGTTTGTAATTATTTGTCTTTTTGTTTTGTTTTTTGTCTTCTTTCTAGTACCTAGTGTAGTTTCCATTGCTTATAACCTGTTGGAATGGTTTTAGAACCCTTCTTATTGTCTGCCTGTTTGCCTTTCTGACTGCTGACCTCATGAGCCTGATTAACCTTTGATTAAAAATGTAGATTTTGTCTTGCTCTTGTCTCCTGTGTTCTAAGTTCAGTAGATCAGCATTACTATTTACCTTTAGTCAAAATGCAGTTTTAGTGTAAATTCAGAATGTTAAAAGAAGACATTAAGGCCAATAGTATTTAGTCATTACAAAGTATCTGCAAAATCATAACCATGTCATCCATGCCCTGCCACGAACAGGATTTGAGGTTCTCTTATCTAAATCGAAGATTAATAGCAACAGGATATCATGTCCAGTTATGCAGTTTTCTATAATTAAACATATAAATACAATGTATTTGTTAAACTGGTAATGTGTGGTGAATCTAACTTTCTTGTTTATTCAACAGTTGTATAACTACTTTCCAATGCTGTTCAGTTGGGTTAAAGCCCGCAAAGAGCTGATAGAGAATGCCTTTGCTAATAGAAGACAGATCGCAGCATTGATCAAAGGTTTAGAGGACACCCTTGATCCACAGATGTGCAGAAGTTTGGTGGATTCATTTCTCGCTCGGAAGATTCAGCTTGAGGTAAGACCTAAATTTGATTAAATACCTTTCCAAAGTAATCTTATTACTGAGACTTATTTCTTCCCTTTTTTCTACTTGTAAGGCATCTGGAAATATAGATAAAAATATAAGTTCTCACTATCACGAAGACAACCTACTGATTACTGTTGTCAACCTATTTACTGCTGGCTCAGAATCTACATCTATTACTATAAGATATGGCTTAATGCTCATGGCCAAGTACCCTGAAATACAAGGTAAGAAATATAATACACTTATTTACTGGTGATGCTTCATTCACCAGATATCTGGGCAATGTGGAAATGAAACAAAGGTATTTTAAGTGAAAAGAAAGCAAAATCAAAAAACAACATTTTCATAAAATTTAGACCGGGTTATGCAGCTTTTTCTAACAGGGGAAGAAAAGATGGTGAGAAACACTTACGTCAAAGAAAAAGCAAATGTGAGAAATGATTTAGAACAAAAACACAGTCCTACCCATGGGCAAATAGCCATTGTCTAGTAACCCAGAATACTGTCAAACTGGCTCTCTGGCAATACTCATCATTTCCACTCCCTGGTCTATTTACTTATTAGATTACTACCTACTACTGGGTAAGAATAAGATGGTGGCAGATAAAGAAGGTCGGAAAAAACAATACCAAACACAAAACCAATAACAAACCACAGTAGGCTTGCCATGGCTTCACCGGGAAGGAGTTCACTGTATATTGTGAGGATATATTAGCAATCAAGAAATTGAAGCATATAAAACATAATCAACTGTTTCTCTTTTAAAGTATGTTCTTCATTTTATTTATGAAAGAACTAAATCTCATGACTTCCAAAAACTTATACGATCACATTTGGATATAATTTGTCCAAAATCTGAATTTTTGTTCGACCATTAGTCATTGCTATTCTGACTAACATAGGTTTGCTAGATGTCCCTTTTACTTAGGTCCAGCAGTGTGCAGAATACTGCAGATATAAATATGAATTCAAACCTAACAGCAAATTAATAAATTGCTCTTAAATAGAATAATTTGTGTAACAACACTACTAGTTTCAATCATTACTTGGTTTGTTTTTTTGTTCTTTTTGTAGACAAAGTCCAGGAGGAACTGGATCAGGTAGTAGAAAATCGCCAGGTCCGAGTGGGAGACAGAAAGAGCCTGCCGTTCACTGACGCTGTCATCCATGAAATACAAAGAGTGATTAATACTACGCCTTTTATTGTACGCTGCGTTTCACAAGATGTCACCTTTCAGTCCTACTTCATCAAGAAGGTAAAACAAAAGTCAAACAGTCCCAGTTCTGAACCAATTAGTGACACTGTACACGTCTACATTTTTTTTTTTTTTTAATGACACGTGAGTGCAGAACAAACAGCATCAAGAGTAACATGAAACTAACACACTGGGCTCTATAGGACCCTCACCAAGACGTACAGGCTACTATGTAGGATAATGACTTTTGTTCAGACTTCACTGTAAAATCTAATTAGTTCCCAGAACTCAAAAGCATTAAGGAAACTCGTTGCCTCAAAAAAAATTGAGTAAAGCTTAGCTAAAAATGACTAAATTAGGACAACTTATTTATTTTGAGTACTCTGTACAAGCTCATTTGTTCCCAGAACTCAAAAAATTGGATCAAGTTTACTTAAGATGACTCATTTTGAGTACACTGTACAGCCTTGTTAGTTCCCAGAACTCAATAAAATTAAGGAAACTCGTTGCCTCAAAAAAACTAAGTAAAGCTTACTTAAATAAAGTCTAGATTTCACATTAATAGATGCCACAGATGTTCAAAAGCTGCCACAAAGCATGAAAAAAAAATGGACGTCTCCGAAAACGTCTGAGCATTTTTGCAAATATGTGATGTCTTGATAAATTGAGCAGATATTTGAACTTTACACAGCTACGTTCTCGCCTGAAAATATCTCAAAAGTTTATTTTGTGACCCAGAAAAAATACGTTTTTTAGCCGTGCTCCTCCGCCATTGCCTCGCAACCGTGGCCAACAAATGCGATCTGCCTTTTCCCCAGACTACCCTTTCTGGGTCACAAAATAACCTTTAAGATATATTCAGCCGAGAATGTAGCTGTGTAATGCTCAAATATCTACTTAATTTATCAAAATATCACATATTTGCAAAAGTGCTTCCAAGTTTTCGGAGAGCTCTGTTATCCACCAGAGCAAAAGCTGACCGGGAGGTCAAGGCTTGATAGAGTCCGCGAGCAAAGCTAACTCCTGGCATATTGTTTTCAACCCCCCCTGCGGTCTTTTGCTACTCAGGTTAAACATGATATTGATATATATCTATATCTCTATCTATAGATAGATAGAGATAGATATAGAGATAGATATCTATATAGAGATAGATATAGATGTATAGATATATAGATATCTATATCTATATATTAGGGGTGCAACGATACTCGTATTGATATTGAACCGTTCGATACAGTGCTTTCGGTTCGGTACGCATATGTATCGAACAATACAAAATTTGTAATTTATTTTATCAACTTTCCTTCTGACTATGCTGTCTGTGTTGAGCGCTCAGTGAATCTGCGTTCGACTACTCCGCCTAGGCTGCACTGTCGAGCGCAGATCCACTGAGCGCTCAACACAGACAGCATAGTCAGAAGGAAGAGCGCAGGGCAAGCCAGCGAGACAGAAGTTAAGCTCTCCTTGCAACATAGCAAATTGAACCTCCCCCACCCTCATTTAGATCTGGCGTTTGGAATTATTTTGGTTTTCATGTGATGTATGACCCTGAAAGTAAGCGTGTCATGGACTAAAGTAAAACAGTATGTTGGATGTGCCACGTAATGCTCAATTACATGGGTGGGAACTAGTGTGTTAGCGCAGTTAGCTCGTTAAGGTGTTGGCCGTCTAGTCCCACGCACTGGGCGATCAGGGGTAGCTCGTTAAAGGAGGTTGCCGTGAGATTGCCTTGTTGTGGCGTTAACGTCATTTCAACGAGATTAACGCTGACAGCACTAGTGGGAACACAACGAATATGACTACACGTTTACGCTGACATCACCCTAGTGCAAAGACAAGTGGAAGCAGACAAAAACAACAAGCATGCATGCTACAAACTTTACCAGAGTTATTTAGACAACCGTTAGCACATGATTCTCCTTATGGGGACCTGATATGTTTAATATTGTGGCGAGCTCAGACAAGGTGGAGAGGGAGGTGTCGTTTGGTCTTGCTTCCCGTGAGCTAGCCAGGGAGCACAGCCGTTTATTGACATCTGCAGAAGAACACTGCCGCTAGCTAACTGCTCAGCGCGGCAACCGCACAGCAACAACAACAACAACAACACACAGGGTGCCCTCTGACCCCGGAAGGACACGCCGTCGCAGCGAGAGGGCGTCACCCGTCACTATGGCAACATAAACAAAACACAACTGTAAAAAACAGAACCCCGAACAGCCCTGACCCGCTACATAGCCCCCGCCTAAGGGGTCAGTCGTCCTCGACGACCCCATTACCCCACACAAAGTCCTGCAAATGTCCAGGTGCCTTCTTCTGGCGCACCTGCCGGTCACGACCGGCGGGGGAAAAGTCACTCGGGTCAGAACATGGGGTGCCACCATCATCCCACTTCTGACACCAATGTGGCGAGCTCAGACAAGGAGGAGACAGAGGTGTTGTTTGGTCTTGCTTCCCGTGAGCTAGCCAGGGAGCACAGCCGTTTATTGACAACTGCAGAAGAACACTGCCGCTAGCTAACTGCTCAGCGCGGCAACCGCACAGCAACAACAACAACACACAGGGCGCCCTCTGACCCCGGAAGGACACACCGTCGCAGCGAGAGGGCGTCACCCGTCACTATGGCAACA